ATGGGGGACTGGGAGGGGACATGGGGGACTGGGAGGGGACACGGGGACAGGAGGGGAGACAGGGGACACGAGGGGACACTGGGGACAGGAGGTGATATGTGGGAATAGGAGGGGACAGGGATTCTTTGGAGGGACATGGGGACATGATGGGACATGGAGGACCGGAGAGGACACGGGGGACAGGGAGGACAGGAGGGGACACGGGGACAGGAGTCGACAACTAAATCCTCGGGGGGACACAGGTGACAGCCAAACCCATGGTGGGACAGGAGGGGGACACAAGGGGACAACCAGGTCCCCAGGGGAGAGGAGAGGACACAGCGGGGACAACCAATCCCTCCGGGGGACAACAGGACACAAGGGGACACAGGGCTGTGGGGTGGGTGGGGGTGGGTGGGTGCCTCAGTTTCCCCACCCTGCCCGCCGGGGAGACAGGAGGGCAGCGGGTGGCCCCTCATGCTCAGGGTCTCGTGGGGTTCCCGTCCCCCTGGGGGCGTCCCGGGGGTGTCCCATGGGTGTCCCACGGGTGTCCCCGCTTGTCCCACCTTGTTGGGCTGTACGGTCCGGCGCAGGTTCTCGATCCAGCGGTCGCGCTCGGCCAGGGACGTGCACCCAAAGGAGCGGCTGCCCTCGCCCGTGATGATCTGGGTGCAGAGAGGGGGTCTTGTGGTGGTGGTGGTGGTGGTGGTTGTGGCACCCTAGGGTGCCCGGAGGGGGCTGCGCTGCAGGCTTTGGGTGCCCGTGGCTGATGGCCATCCCTTTTGGGGTGCTCTGGGTGCTCAGCGAGGGGTACCCTGGGGGTTTCAGGGTGCCCTGGGTGCCTTTGCAGGGTGCCTGGGGTGCCATAGGGTCCTTCCTAGGTTGCCCGGGGTGTCCTGGGTGCCTCTCCAGGGTGTCATGGGTGTCCCGGGCAACCTGGGTGGCCCTCTAGGTTGCCCGGGGTGTCCTGGGTGCCTCTCCAGGGTGTCATGGGTGCCCTGGGCAACCTGGGTGCCCCTCCACTTTGTCTAGGGTGCCCCTGCAGGGTGTCCTGGGTGCCCTGGGAGCCCCTGCAGAGTGCCCTGGGGTGTCTTGGGTGTGCCTCTGGGGTGTCATGGGTGCCCTGGGCAACCTGGGTGCCTCTCTAGGTTGCCTGGGGTGTCCTGGGTGCCACTTCAGAGTGTCATGGGTGCCATGATCACCCTGGGTGCCCCTCCACTTGGTCTAAGGTACCCCTGCAGGGTGTCCTGGGTGCCCTGGGTGCCCCTGCAGGGTGCCCTGGGGTGTCTTGGGTGCCCATCCAGGGTGTCATGGGTGCCCTGGGCAACCTGGGTGCCTCTCTAGGTTGCCTGGTGTTGTTCTGGGTGCTCCTCTGGGGTGTCATGGGTGCACTGGGCAACCTGGGTGCCCCTCCACTTTGTCTAGGGTACCCCTGCAGGGTGTCATGGGTGCCTCTCCAGGGTGCCCTGGGGTGTCTTGGGTGCCCCTCTGGGGTGTCATGGGTGCCCTGGGCAACCTGGATGCCTCTCTAGGTTGCCTGGGGTGTCCTGGGTGCCTCTCCAGGGTGTCATGGGTGCCCTGGGTGCCCCTGCAGGGTGCCCTGGGGTGTCTTGGGTGCCCCTCTGGGGTGTCATGGGTGCCCTGGGCAACCTCGATGCCTCTCTAGGTTGCCTGGGGTGTCCTGGGTGCCTCTCCAGGGTGTCATGGGTGCCCTGGGTGCCCCTGCAGGGTGCCCTGGGGTGTCTTGGGTGCCCCTCTGGGGTGTCATGGGTGCCCTGGGCAACCTCGATGCCTCTCTAGGTTGCCTGGGGTGTCCTGGGTGCCTCTCCAGGGTGTCATGGGTGCCCTTGGGTGCCCCGCAGGGTGCCCTGGGGTGTCTTGGGTGCCCCTCTGGGGTGTCATGGGTGCCCTGGGCAACCTCGATGCCTCTCTAGGTTGCCTGGGGTGTCCTGGGTGCCTCTCCAGGGTGCTGTGGGTGCCCCTGCAGGATTTCATGGGTGCCCTGGGTGCCTCTCCAGGGGTGCCCTGGGGTGTCCTGGATGCCCTGGGTGCCCCTCTGGGGTGCCCCTCTGGGGTGCCCTGGAGTGCCCTGGGTGCTCCTCCAGAGTGTCATGGGTGCCTTGGTCACCCTGGGTGCCTCCCTAGGTTGCCTGGGGTGCCCTGGGTGCCCCTCCAGGGTGCCATGGGTGCCCTGGGTGGCCATCCAAGGTGTCTTGGGTGCTCTGGGTGCCCCTCCAGAGTGCTCTGGGTGCCCTGGGTGGCCATCCAAGGTGCCGTGGATGCCCTGGGTCCCCCTCCAGAGTGCCATGGGTGCCCTGGGTGACTATCCAAGGTGTCACAGGTGCCCCTCCAAAGTTCCTTGGGTGCCCTGGGTCCCCCTCCACCTTGCCTGGGATGCCCCCGCAGGGTGCCGTGGGCGCCCTGGGTGCCATGGTTGCCCTGGGTGCCTCTCCAGGGTGCCCTGAGCACCCACCTGTGCCCATTACCTGAAAGCAAAATTTCTCGCCCACGATGCTGCCGTGCACGGGCCGGACGATGACATTGTCCCCGGTGAGGTCCAACTCGGCCACGCTGGGGGGTGGCAGCAGCGACTCCCGTGAACCGCTGCGGCTGGGGACCCTACAGGGACAGGACCGTCACCGGGACACCCTCACCAGCACCCACATCTCCCCACCCCACCCTCCGCCGTGCCGTACCTCTCGCCGTCGGGCACCGTCACCGCCGGCGGCGTCTCGGCTTTGGGGATGCCACGAACTTTTTAGCAGGGCCTGTTAC